TTTGTACAATCTGTTTCCTAAAGTATTTTTTGACAAAGGCCTTTAAAAAAAATTGCAGCTTGTTAGATTTGAGCAGTCTTGAATAGTTTTACGAATTTGTGCAAAGCCAATGAGTCATAACATCACACCCAATTTAACAACAGCCCCAAAGTTCCAGAACTGTTCATGTCTATGCTATCAGTGCCCAATTATTCTCCTTCCATGTTACTAAAAGACCAGAAGAATAAGCTCATTCTTGGTAGTCATCATAGGTCTGCACAATTAATTCTGTCAAAACTATCAATTATCAGATATCAATCCTTAAAGCATTTTTATTTTAATCTCTTCTAGTCTTCTACCTTCAAAGAAATCAGTAAAACACTTAGGGAATCATTGGGTTAAAAGCTCAAACCCTGTAATTACCCTGTACCGTTTTAACTCTGGGCCTCACCACTTCACCAGACCTTCCTGCTCCTATGTTCCGTAAGGTGGGTTAACCCTGATACCTAAACAGAGGGCTTTGTAAAGATTTCCAGTGGGAGGATGTACATGAATGTTGATGAATGCAGTGGTCTAGGCATTGGGGACAGATGCACATGACATCGCCCCTGTCCTAAAGGAAACGGGGTCAGTTTAGCAGGAGAAACCACCAACTATAATTAAAAGGTTAAGTGGTATGAAAGTGACACAGGCAGGATATCACCAGGGAAGGCTCCTAACCCAGACCTGGATGTCAGGCCCAGCTTTCCGGAGATGGCAATGCCTGAGCTGTCAGGTAATAAAAAGGGGAAAAGGAAAAGAGACATGAAATTCCAAGAACAGAACTGCAATCGTGTCAAAGCATGGAGGAGCCAGAGAAAGCAGAACAGTGCTTATTTGGCCTAAGTTTCCCAAGGGAAAAAAATTTAAACGACTATCAAACTGAGGCTTTACAAGTCTGGTTTTCAAGCATGAATATGATACAGTATGCTTTATAGGATAGTTTTTCCAAATGCTATTAATGTTAAAAACAGTGGCATTCTCATGGAATCTACAGACTTTGAGGACCTAAAGAAATCTGCAACAGTGTCAATTAAAAAACGATCTCATTTTATAAATGAGGAAATATGGGCCCAGCAAAGGTAAGCTTGAACTAGAAAACATGTCTTCTCTCCCATGCAAAATAGTCTATACCTAAAACAAAAAAATGAGTAAATCAATCTGAGCTTTTTTCTAAGCTAGAAAATACCTGTGTGTGAACAAAGAATTCAAAAGTCATTAAGTGTTATAACAGTTCTGTTTATAGTATGCATTACTAAATGTACATATTATAAACAAGAAGCTTAAAGTCCTCAGTAATAAAACAAACTTAAGGGTTTTATCCAAATTTGATTTATTTTTCACTTAATGCTCATTTCTTGGTTTTGAAGCAATACAAAAGACACCTTAAACTATCAAATATTTTTTTAAAACAAGGTAAACTGAGAAATGGCCCTTAAAATTGGCCTTTTTCTCCAGACATACCTAAAAGACAAGTTCAAAATGAAGCCAATGGTCCTCAAAAGACATTTTATTCCAGATTGACTCAGTTGCTGACAGTAGAAAGTCCATGGCTTTGGGACCTACCAAGGAATAAAAACAGAAACACGACCTGGTGTGGTGGCTGTAATCCTAGCTCTTTGGAAGGCCAAGGTGGGAGGATCACCTGAGGCCAGGAGTTCAAGATTGGCCTGGGCAACATAGGAGAACTCACCTCTACTAAAAATACAAAAACTAGCCAGGTGTGGTGCATGTGCCTGTAGTTCCAGCTACTCAGGAGGTCTGCTTGAGCCAGAAATTTGGGGTTGAGTGAGCTATAATGACGCCCCTGCACTCTAGCCCAGGCGACAGAGCAAGACCCTGTCCCCAAAAGAAAAAACACCACACGAACACACTCATAAAGATAAGGTTTGGTGCCCTAATTTTTTTAATTCAAAGAATGGCAAGTAACAACTCCTAAATTTAAAGAACATACATTTTAATTTCCCATGCTGAAAGACACACTATCTATGCCTCTGGGTATACTGGGAGTGACATTCTGATAAAAGGCCCTCAATGACCCCAAAATGGTCTCTCCCATAAAGACTTCCCATCAGATTCTCATGGCACCACTGGCTTGCTTCATCTTTTCAACAGGGAAGAGCCTCCACTACCAAACGACTTCATGTCAAAGGCAAGGCTGCCATAGTTAAGCTGGGTGGGGGGAGGGAACCCAATTTTGTTTCCAAAAAAGCAAACACAAGAAGTTTAAAAATCCACACCTTAAAACTAGTTTGAAGGGAAAAAAAAGCTAATCGAAGTTTCACAACTTGTTTTCTTGCCACTTTCCTTGATTTCCACAGTTGAAGAAAACCTGAGCATTCCTCTGTTAGGGCACAGTACTAGATGCTGGGGTAGGGGTGGGGAGGTGGCCGGTGCAGGGCAGGGATAGAAGCAGGAAAGGGGAGTATAAAAGGAAGAGATGACAAATTTTCCTCTCAAGAAGTGTATAATGATAATACAGCTTGCATTCTTAACCATAGGCAGTACAGGAACTACGTTTTCTGTAGCCAAAATCAGGGCAAGCAGTCAAACATTAGGTTTAAGTTAGAATTACTCCAGAAAACTCATTCATTCAAAAAAAAAAATCAACTGAGGTACCACCATGACCAAGTTCTAAGTTACTTTGGGGATGCAAAAATAAATAAGGAATATCCCTGCCCTCGAGGAATTCACTCTAAATGTATGGGAAATAAAGCTACATTGACAGGACTAAGTTAATTACAGCTAGAAGGTAAAATTCGTTTAGAAGTCTAATGAACTATAATATCTTATCTAAGGAAATGGTGCAGAATCCACTGGGGCATGCATTTGTCTCTGTCCTCTGATGTGGTATACAGCATTAGGAATGGGGGCATGCCTACAAGGACCTGAGCTTGCGGCTCTCAGAGAGGGAGAGTGGCTTTTATACATTGGTGGAAAACTCTAGTATATCTAAAGTTGGTTTGTTTTTTAGCAAAATAGTTTTTAAAAGATGAGGCTAATGAGAAAAAACAGTTTAACATATTTAGAAAGCAATTCAGTCATTCCTCTCAAGCTTAATGAGCACTCTCCTGAAACCTCCAAAAATGGGCATAATAGAGTTAAAGCAAGCCAGTCTTGTGTTTGCATGCTTTGGAATTTGAAATGCGATGCAACTATTTCGACTTACCATGGAAAGCAATAAAAAGAACTTTCAAGTAAAAAATGTTCTAACATCCAAAAACGTTTTTAAACAAAGAAAAATCTCATATCCAAATATTTTTTTAAATACTGGTTTTACATTTTAAATATCACTACATATTTTGCTACATAATAAACTATCCAGGATTTCAGAAAATCGGGTATCATTTTCGGGTGCAGTACTAAATGAAGTGTTAAAACAGCACACACTCTGCAGGGCGCTAAGATATGCTTAGGTCCTAGAAACTCATGGCTTAAAGTAAAAATGAATTTAGTTCCTCTTCTGCCACCCCATTAAGCGCATTTCAAAAAGTGTGACCATTTACCCCACTCATAACTTTTGACTATTTTAGTGCTACTACCGGAAAGAGCAATTACACAGAGCAAATAAACACTTGAGCAAGTTGACTGCAATTCAGTATTTGCGCACTTAGCACTAACCCCTACTACGAACTAAAAGCAACAACAGTGACACAATCGGAAGAGAGAATCCTGTTTTTGGCAAAGCTAGCTAGAAAGAAAACCTTTAACTCTGGGGATTAATTTCAAGGAGTGTTTACAAGCATTCCTCTCTTTCTTAATTATCTTATGTCTACACTACATTACACAGGTGGCAGAAAGAGGGGTTTTCGGGCTACTCAAGCCTTGGGAATAAAGGCGCACGCCCCCCAAGCCTGGGGACCCCAATCCCCGCAGCCTGGGCGGGCGCCGGTTACCTCCGGGGTCCGGGCGCGCGCTCCCGGCGAGGCCCGGGCCGGAGGCGCGCCGAGGCCGCGGCGCAGGGCCCGGCCCGAATCGCGAGCGCTCGGCCGCCGCACTCGCATCCCTGCGCGCCTGCCCCGGCCCGCTCCCCCAAGAGAACGGGGCAAAAGCGGCTACTGTTACCCAATAGTAGCGCCCTGCAAAGTCGCAACAATACAGTCGGGGAACCCGAGAGCCGCGGGCAGGGAACCGGAAAGCGAGAGGCCAGCTCGGCGGCTCCTCCGGCGCGCGAGCCCAGGGCTTACGGGAGAGCACGAGTCAGGCTGCTAGCGGCGCCCAGGGGAGAAGGGGGCGAGGAAGAAAGGGCACGAGTCCCGGCGTCCCGCGGAGGTCGCCGCACGAGGCGAGGCGTGGACTCCCGAGCCGCCCAGGGCCACACGCCGGCCCAGCCTCCGCGGGCCAAGCCCGGTCACGGACGGGAAAGAGGCTGGCGCCGCCAGGCCGCCACCTCCGGGCGCGATGAATCGGGCTTTTTCCCAGTGCGCAGTCCAGGCCTGGCCGCTCCGAGCCCGCGTCCCGGGCTGCGGCCCAGCCAGGCCCAAGCCGGCCGGGGTGACTCAGGGCCGGGCGCCGTTCGCTCCCCTCTCGCCCCAGCGTCCTCCGCCCACGAGTCCCCTGGCCCGGCCGCCATTCCGGCCGGCCGCCGGTCGGCGGTTCAGGCCTCGCCCGGCGTCTGGGCTTGGCCGCCGCGGCCCCAGTCACTGCGACACCGCGGCTCGGGGCCGGGCCTGCTCCGCCGCCGCTTCCCCTCGGCCCCGGCGGCCGCCGACACTCACCCGCATTTCCCTGGTGCCTCAAAGGCTCCGGCAACGTCTCCGTCTGGTTGCTGGGCCTGGGCCCCGGCGAAACCCCCGTCCCGCCAAGGTCTGACTGCGTCCCTCAGCCAGCGGGGCTGCCCCGCCTGGAGCTGCGTGCGACACGGAGCCCGCCTCCTCCTCCTCCCCTGCCCGCCCGGCCCTCCTCCCGCCGCCGCTGCCTGCACCACGCAACCTCCGCCCTCTCGCCTTCCCTCCGCGGCTCCCCGCCCTCCCGGCCTCACCGGCTCCGGCGACCGCGGGGGAGAAGCTGTTGGGGGAGGGCCGGAACGCACCGCCATCGGCGTCCGGGGCGGGGGAGCCGGGAAACCGTCGCCGCCATCGCCCCGCAAGACCGAGGCACGGGAGGGGCCCGGAAACCTCCCTCCAGCCGTGACCCACGGCCCCGGGGGTGGCCCCCTAAGTGGCCGAGGCCGCCGCTGGCGTGGGTCATTTCTACCTGCAAGCCCACGGCCCCCGACCCCTAAAGTCCCGAATCATCCCCGGCCCGGCGCACCGGATCCTCCGCCGGGTTTTACAGCCTCCCTTGCTTCGGGGACGCCTCTGAAGACCCGTTCCCGCCACTTCGGACCTCGCGGGCAAGGCTGACCTTCTTAGGTTGGGGACGCCAGTTTCTAGAGAAACTGCCCGAAGCACCCCGAGGAGAGGGGCTCACACCTCCCCCTGCCCCTCCCCTGCGCGCACCCCCTCCCCCCCGAGCTGCATGGAACACAGCTGCACCCAACTCCGGCCTCCCGGGACTGGGAGAGGAACCCAAAGTCAGAGACGGGCAGGTGGACCCGAAAATCCGCGCAGACATCAGAGAAACTGTAGTCGAGTCTCGACCCCCTTTACCTTGCAGGCCTTAGGAATCAGTTCCTGAAAGCCTGAGCTTATCTGCACATCTCTCTGATTTTAAATCATTTCTAAAATAAAACCAAACTAGGCTTCCCTCTTCAAACCCTTTAACCAAGTCCCGTTTGGCAAATATTGGCAAAGATTCACTTTTTACCCTTGCCTTTGTACGGACAAATCAAGAATAGAAGGCTTTGATTACTTCTAGGATGGCATGAGGTGTGACTATGAAAAAGTATTGTTTTCACGTGTAGTCTGAAGTCATCTCATTCATTTGAAATTAATTGTCAGAATTGGGTATTTGGAATATTCAAATTAAATACAAATTTTGGCAGCGCAAATAGCCACCCACTTCTGAAGTGACAGGCTGGAGAAAGGGGGCAAATGCCCCCACACCTAGCAAAAGCTGGCTGTTTAACATCATGGCTCACAACAGACAGTGGCTGATTCCATGCACAAGCAAGGAGGGATTTCAAATTATCCTGTCATCTGGGCAAAAGATGTGATGAATGTGACTTCCTGTTTTCTCCAAACTAAAACACTACAAGATTCTGTTACCACTTGGGGCAGAAATGCTCTGCTAGAGTAGAGGGCCACCCGCGGTCCACTCTCAGAGGGAACATACCACTGGTATATGTGGTCCTTCCTATTGAAATGTGTTTTTTTTGGTCAACATTTGTTAAGTATCTCTAGAAGTATTGTTTGTATATACTTGTCACCAAAATATATAATCCTTAAATTTGTGTAAGGGTTGGGGAGGGAGGTGAAAAATTCTTGGTTTATATCCTACACTTTTAAATAACCTAGTCAAAAGAAAACTTAGATGTATTTAACAACTTTTTTGTGGGAACATGGTAAGGTTGGAGGTAAAAATGGAAGGTTTGTCCCTATGGCCATGCCTTCCACTGTACCTGTATGGCTTTTTAAAAATATCCTAATTTCTTCCTCTTACTGGAATGCATGGGTTCCTCAGAAAACAATTTATCTCCGTATTCCTTATGCTGTCTTCTTCAATCTCTTCATTCAACATGGTCACCTGTTCTGTGACTTCTCACAGCTGAACATAAGAGCTGCGTGGGTCAACTTTCCCTGTTTTTCCTTAATGGAAGTATGTAGTCCACGTGCACTACCCTCCCACTTCTCACTGCCTCCATTCCTGGTTCTTAACTCCCTCGTGTTCTTTACTCTCCACCTGTCTGCACAATCATTCTTAGCAGCTAGACTATTCCATCGACTTTAGGGTCCATTTCACAACCAGATTGCATCTACTCGGGGCAGATAACCTTGCCTCCTACTTAACAGGTCAAGGCCATCTTCTCTCTTTCTACTTCAAAACATCCTTCTTTCATCTTTCTCCCCTGTCTCAGCAAAATTGATGTCCCTCTCAGATGACCCAAAGTTTGGAGGGATAATTAATTTGATAGATGTCAGAACCAAAATTCAAAATAGTCTCAAAAGACTAGAATATTAGGTGAAAACCAATAAAATAAAACTTTGCAAGTCTAAAACAACATGATATACTAGTTGGAAAAGCCCAAGTTTTAGATTTAGGCAGAGCTTGGTTTATATTCAGACTCAAATTATTATCTTTTGCTCTAATTAAGTGAACTGTTAATTGAAGGTAAAAATACCTACCTCCTAATGTGTGGTGAAGAATAATTCCTTTATAACTCCAGCATAATTCCTGGAACACTCACCAAGTGTTAGTTCCCTCACTTTCCTCATCTTCCACAAAGTGGAGGCCCACTGACTTCTCTATTACTATACATAACTCTAGCATTTTCCACGCCATACAAGTGTGGAAACAAACTCAAAATCCTGCCCCATTCACCTTGTATCCCAGAAATGTCACCATCCTAGAGAAATCTTTTGTCCATTTTGGGATAGCCTGTGGGGACAGCACTATCATCATCACACCCATTTTCCAGTGGAAAAAACCTAAGCCTCAGAGATACTAGGTGATTTACATCAAATCACTCAGCTTGGTCAGTGCCTTAATCTAATCCAGTGACTCTCAAGTCCACGTACGTCCACTACTTTACTAAGGTATTTTCCCACACCTAGATTGGTCCTTTAACCTTCTATAATAAATGGTTTTCCTGGTTCTGGTCTTTTCTCTGTCCTCTTACCTGCGTAGTGACTGACAGCAAATCATTCCTTCTAAACTGATACCTTCATCATTATATCTTTGTCCCTCAAACTTTGATGGCTCCACATTGTTTATAGGGATTAGTCCAAACTCTGATCTGGCACTTAGGGTTTACCATATCTTGTCCTAACTCACTTTTCCAAATTCATTTCCAGCCACTTCCCCAAAAGAACACTCAACTCCATCCAATCCTATTGGTCCTACTCACTGGCCCACGAATACCATTTGAATCACCATTTCTGACTGTTTGCTTCCATTTGTTCCTTTAACAGATAGGGTTCGCTCCTTCTTTCCTACACTGCCAAAGCATGCTTCCTTATCAAGATCCCGCTCATATCCCCTCCCAGGAAGCCCGCCTTGCACCTTCTACCCAGGCTTTTGTGATCTCCCTCAGATTGCCGACTTCTCACACGTGCCTTTAAACGGGGTAATCTGTGCTTTGGCATCAGGGATTATTTCCTAAAGTTCACCAGCCCCCTTGCATTATGTCTGAAGAACATTGAAGCATATTCAGAGCATTTTTGCTTATTATTCAAATGAAAAGGCACTCTGTCACTTGACTGGCCATATGAACTGTTATTTCTAAGACAGGTTAGAAACTGGCCATTGAGTGCAAGGAAATTGATTTAACAGGATGGTTCCCAAATTAGACTTTGCTTCAGAATCACCTGGGGACTTAACTAGTAATTCCAGGGACCCCTTTCCAGATCTACTGAATCAAATTGGGTAGGAAGGAGCAGGAGGGAATTTGAAACTGCCAGGGTTTATATCCTCGCTTTACTATTTATTATCTGGGTAACTTTGAGCAAGTTAATTAACCTCTCTGTGCCTCAGTTTCTTCATCTATGAAATGGAGATAATAATAGTATCTCATATGATGTTGTAGTAAATGAAATAATTAATAAGTATTACCTATGATGATGATGATAATGATAATGACTCATAATTACCCAGGGCCAGTCTAGTGACCTGAGTTTGGGAACCACCGATTTAATGAACCACTCCCACTCCTTCTCTTGTTAAAGTTTCAAATATCATGACCTTAAGACTTCTGGTATTAAGCATTATGATATATTCTAATAAATCTTACTTGTTTTGAAATAGTGTAATTATTTCAAGAGGAGCCAAGTAAATCAGATTTTTCAGTTAAATGTATTTAATCCAAATCATGACATATACATTATTCATGATATTTTGAAAAATTAATTCCTCTTAGAAACATAGCTACACATATGCTGTAACTGCACAGAGTAATTCAGCCAGGTTAGTATTCAAAGAAAGCAGGAAAGAGATGAAATAATATCATGATTTCTTCCACTTCAGACAAAGAGTCATAAATGCTTTTTGAAGAGGCACATTTTTAAATCCTCTACTTTAATTCATTAGAAAAAATTTCATAGCTCATTTTGGTCCATTACATACCAAATAAACAAGATTTTAATGATATTTACAGGTAACTAGATATAAAATATGAAGCAGAAATTTTCTTACCAAAGTCACAAACTGAATGGGGAACACAGGATTGGTAGACCCCACCTTCTCAACTCATAAATTGCTTATCTAACAAATACACAAAGGCCTTCTTTTTTTTTTTTTTTTTGATAGAGGGTCCTGTTCTGTTGCTCAGGCTGGAGTTTAGTGGCATCATCATAGCTCACTGCAACCTCAAACTCCTGGGCTCAAGTGATCCTCCTGCTTCAGCCTCCCGAGTAGCTGGAACTACAGGCATGTGCCACCATGCCCTAATTTTTTCTGTTTTTTGTAGAGATTGTAGAGAGGGGATCTCTTACTCAAGCTGGTCTTGAACTCCTGACCTCAAGCAATCCTCCCGCCTTGGCCTCCCAGAGTGCCAGTATTACAGGCGTGAGCCACCGTGCCCGGCCCAGACTGTTGTATTTCTAACTCGTCTTCCCCCTCAGCCAACCCCTCAGATGTCTGGAGCACTCCAGAGCCACCTGACCTGAGGGGAAGAGTGAGGAAGAGGAAGTTAGGTTGGAAAGAGGTAATGGTCTTAATTGCAGCTAAAATAACCTACATTTGAAATTTTTTCAGAAAAAATGTGACTGCATGAACGTATCTCGAGGGCCCTTGCTAGGTGTTGGAAGATCTCATGCAGATGGGCAGAGCTGCAGCTGAAGTTTCACTACCTACCAGAGTATCCACGTCCATTCTGTCTTCAGCCTGGCTCTCCCACACTCTGGGTCTTAGTTTCTAGCTGCTTAACGGACCCATTTCCT